CTACCACTCCAGCCCGCTCGCCTATGACTCCAGCTGCCCTCCTACCGCTCCAGCCCGCTCACCTATGACTCCGGCCGCCCTCCTACCTCTCCAGCCGCCCTCCTACCGCTCCAGCCAGCTTGCCTATGACTCCGACCGCCCTCCTACCTCTCCAGCTGCCCTCCTACTGCTCCAATCCGCTCGCCTATGACTCCAGTCGCCCTCCTGCCGCTCCAGCCCTCTTCCCGATGACTCTGGCCGCCCTCCTACCTCTAGCCCGCTACTTTAGAACTCCGGCCGCCCTCCTACCGCTCCAGGCAGCTCCCCTACGACTCCTGCCGCCCTCCTCCTGCTCTAGCCGGTTCCCCTACCACTCCGGCCTCCTTCCTACTGCTCCAGTCCGCTCCCCTATGACTCTGGCCTCCCTCCTGCCACTCCAGCCCTGCTCCCCTATGACGCCGGCCGCCCTCCTACCACTCCGGCCACCCTCCTACCCCTCCAGCTCGCTCCCCTACCGCTCCGGCTGCACTCCTACCACGCCAACCTGCTCCCCTACTGCTCCAGCCGCCCCCTACCGCTCCAACCGCCCTCCTACCGCTCCAACCCGCTCCCCTACCGCTCCGGCCACCCTCCTACCGCTCCAGCTCTCTCCCCTTCGACTCCGGCCACCCTCCTATCACTCCGGCCGGCTGCCTTCCTACCGCTCCACCACTCCGGCTGCACTCCTACCGCTCCAACCCGCTCCGCTACAACTCCAACCGCCCTCCTAACGCTCCGGCCTCCCTCCTACTGCTCCAGCCCGCTCCCCTAACACTCCGGCCGCTCTCCTACCGCTCCAGCCTGCTCCCCTACCGCTCCGGCCGCCCTCCTACCACTCCAGCCTGCTCCCCTACGCCCTCCTACCGCTCCAGCCGCTGCAGTTTCCGTCACCACCACCCACTGCAGCGAGGCCAGCCGCGGTACAGCAGGCTGCAGCCTCCAGCGTGCAGTAGGTGGCTCTGCCGCCCCTTCTCCTGTTCCTCTAAGCCGTGAACACAGTGGCTCCGCTAGAAGATACACAGGAGACTGGAACAGCGTGAGGCAGCCTCAGCATGCCTTATATACTGAGGTTTTGCCCATGGTTCCTGGACTACATGTTCTGATTGGATGAGAGGAAACCTTTAGGCCTACTCTGATTGGGTTTTATTTTCATGCTCTGATTGGCTTTGTTTTCATCCAATGAGACTGTGTAGTTCAGGAACCTCTGTGCATAACCTCAGTATATAAATGGCTCTGTTGGGCAGGCACTCCATTCTAGGCTTTTCTGTGTGTGTCGGCTGTGCTCCTCGGTGCTGGGCTTAGAGGAGTAGAAGACGGGAGAGCCAGCTGCCGCCTGCTGGAAGCTGGAGTCTGCAGTACTGCGGTTCGGTTCGCCTTGCTGCAGCTCACCTCACTGTGGTTGGCGGTAGCCACGGACGCATGCCCCTGGAGCGGTAGGAGGGGAAACGAGTTTGGGGTGAGGTGGGAGGGCTAAGGAGGGTGGTTATTGCCAAAGGGACAAAGAGGATGGCGAACAGGATAAGATGTTGAAAAAAGACGGTGAGGAAAAGATGGTGGGAAAACTATTTTGGGGTAGATGGAAGGGGAAAATGGAGTGGCAAGTGAGAGGAGGAATGAGAGGATGGTGAGGGGGGAAGCAGGGGGCGAGTAAGAGGGTTTGTGAAAAGATGGTGGGGAAACGTTTTTGGGTAGATGGAAGGGGAAAAGAGAGTGGCAAGTGACAGGAGGAATGAGAGGATGGTGAGGGGAGAACCAGGGGGTGAGCAGGAGGGAGAGAAGGTCTGAAAAAATACGGGAGGAAAGAAGACAGTGCGTAAAAGATTTTGGGCAGATGCAGAAGGGAAGAGGGGGACAAGTGGGAGAAGGAAAGGTGATGCAAAGAGGGAGGGGGAAGAGAAAGTGGGCAAGCAGGAGGGAGAGAAGGTTTGCGAAAAGAAGGGGACAAAATTTTTTACGTAGATGAAGAGAGAAAAGAGGGTGGCGAGTGGGGAGGAGAAAAGGTTTTGCAAATAGACGATGGGCAGGAAAGAAAGACTGCAGAAAGAAAAGACAGTGGATAAAGTGGATAGATGGAGGGGGAAGAGGGTGGCAAGTGGGAAGAGAAAAGAGGGGGTGGCCAGAGGGAGTGCAGAAAGAGGAATGGGAAGGGAAGAAGAGGGTGAGTGGGAAGCGGGGAACGCTTTGCAAAAAAGATGGTGAGGAAATGTTTTGGGATAGATGGAGAAGGGAAAGAGGGTGGCAAGAAGGAAAGGGGAAAAAGACGATGGGGCAAACAGTTTTGGGGAGATGAAGGGGGAAAAGAGGGTGCTGAGCAGGAGTGGTGAGAAGGCTTTGGTAAAAGATGGGGAAAATGTTTTTGTGTAGATAGAGGAGCAAACGGAATGAGAGTGAGGCAGGAAAGAGGGTAGGAAAGAGGAAGAAAACACAGTGGGGGAAAACGGTGTATAAAAGTTTTGGGGTAGATGAGTGGGGAAAACTGTAGTGAGCAAGAGAGTAGAGAAGTCTTTGTGAAATGACAGTGGGGGAAAATGTGGAAAAAGCTTTGGGGTAGATGGAGAAAGAAAAAGGCTGGCGAGAGGGAAGGGCCAAAGGCGGAAAAATAATGCTGGGGGACGGACAGAGAGTTTGGGTAGATCTTTTTCTGATTTTTAAATAAGGTTATTTGTATTTTTTGCTTTGGAGAAGTTTGAATTCTTTATATGTTTTCTGTATTAGCTGCTTGCCTGATGGCATAGTTTGCAAATTCTTCCATATTCTGAATTTTCTTCATTCTGATTGCTTCCTCTACTTTGCAGAAGCTTCTGTGTTTAATGCAATTGCATTTGATGCTTTTTGCTTTTGTTGCTGTGGCTTTTGATGTGTATTTGAAAATCCCTTGTCCTAACCAATTTCATGAAGGATTTATACTGTTTTCTTCTCTAGTAGTTTCATAGTCGCAGGTCCTACATTTAAATCTTTATTTTGAGTAGATTTTTGTATTTGGTAAGATAACGGTCTAGATTTATTCTTACCGTTTATTATGTATGTGTTGTGTTGTCCTAGCACAGTTTATTGAAGAGACTGTCCATTCCAAAGGTGTTAAAATGAGTTGACTTTAAATGCATGAATTTATTTCTGAGTTCTCTATGTCTGTGTGTCTGTCTGTCTCTCCCTTGCCACTTTTATGGCCAGTACCATGCTGTTTTTGTTACTAAAGATTTATAATACATTTTAAAATCAGGTATTGTGATGTTTCCAGTTTTTTTCTTTTTGTTCATGATTCTTTTATCTATTTGAGATATTTTGCATTTCTATGTGAATTTTAGGATTTTTTTTCTGTTTCCATGAAGAATGTCTTTTGTAATTTCACATGAATTGCATTGATTCTGCAGATCACATTGGGTGATAGATATTTTAATGTTCTAGTGCTTGGACATGGGCGATCTTTTCATCGTGTCTGTTTTGATATCTTGTCTCTTTTATCATTTTCATTGTGGGATCTTCCAAATTTTTTGTTGTGTTTAGGTATCTTTTTTGGGTGGTAGAAGTAATGAAACAGCTTTCTTGAATTACGAAGGAACGTTGCATTACTGAAATGATGATATATTTTTTCTTGATTTGCTGAATGTGATGTGGCACATTTACTTATTTGGGTTTATTGAATTGCCCTCATATTTCTCAGATGAATCCCTCTAAATCGTGGCAGATGATCTGCTTATTGTCTTGTCCAATGCAGTTTTCAAATAGTTGGTTGAGGATTTTTTGCATCTGTGTTTATCAGGGATATTTGCCTGTGGTTTGCTTTTTTGTGTTGTGTTTTGGTCTGGTTTTTGTACCAGGGCTGGCCTCATAGGACAAGTTTGGAAGTGTTCCTTCCTCTTTATTTTTGGGGGAATATTTTGAGTATATTTGGTATTAGCTCTTTTAAAAATGTTTCATTGAATTCAGTAGTAAAACCATGATTCTTGTGCTTTTTTTTGATGGGAGACTTTTTATTACTACTTTAATTGCATTACCCATAATTAGTCTGTTCTGTTTCTTATTTTTCTATCATTCTCTCCACACCAGTGCTGCCCTTCTCTCTGGCCACTGACACATCTGGTTTATCTCACTATCCCCAGGTGTCATGTGGGGGGCAGAGTGTAGCCTTCCCTGACCTAGGAATGCACCAACACAGGGCTCCAGGGTGAACCCAGAGTTGGGGCTGCAGCTAGAACTTCAGGGAAGGAGAGGACCCTGACCTCTTACTTCCTGGTTCCGGTGGTGAGGTTCCAGGAGTGTGGCCAGAGTGGGCCCACTCAATGTTGTGTAATAACAGGACAGAGAAGACAGCAGCCTTTAACACTTCACATGAAAATGTGGCATAAGAACCACTGATCAATCCAGTCTTGGTCAGAAAGGCATTGCCATTGTTGAGAGAGCCACTGTCTGAGTGCCTGTAGCTATGTATGTATGAAATATATACATATATATAATGCTGTTTGGCTTACGGTGTCTAAAATATTTACCATCTAATGTGTCATAAGCCTGCTTATGGTTGTGCATGACCCTGTAAAGATTTAACCACTTTTAATAACAGTAAACAATATTAGCTACCGTTTACTGAGGCTCAGAAATGTTTAGTAACTTGCCTAAGGTCACACAGCTAGTAAGTGGCATAGTGGGATCTTGCAGTGACAGTTTGGAGGGAGAGGAGAATAAGTGATAGACTTGATTACTGCCATGCAGATGCAGGTGGCCCCCTGGACTTCAGCTTCTCCAGGTCTGTGCATAACTCCAAAACTGCCAGGCAGCTCTGTGACCCCAATATCTCCTCTTGAGGTTGCTCTGGGATGGCTGCCAAAGCTTCTTTTTAATAAAAATCCTCATGAGAACACTGTGACCAGAGCTTCTATGTTTCTGGCATTTTCCTTCCCGTGGGGCCGCCCAACCTCAGCCGTTCTTTTGTAACTTGGCTAACTCCTTTCTGGTTTCCTCCTAGACTTTACCTTGTGGGTTCACATTGCTAAACCCTGCTGAGCGTCGTTTCTGGTGGGCAGAGTTGACAAGCCACCTGCTTCTTCACTACTCCTGACTCATCTCTGCAGAGCAGACACACCTCACTTTTTGGGCATCACTGAAGAATGTTCTGGTAAGTACGTTTCTCAGGAATCAAAGCTTAGTGCTCAGAACACTCAACTTTAGAAATTTGGAATTATTTTGCACATTAAATCTTTTTTTTTTGTAAAAGATGGAGTCTTACTCTTACTGCCAAGGCTGGAGTGCAGTGGCACAATCTCAGCTCACTGCAACCTCTGCCTCCCGGCTTCAGGCAATTTTCTTGTGCTAGCCTCCTGAGTAGCTGGGATTACAGGTGCCTGCCACCACACCCAGCTAAGTTTTACATTTTCCGTAAAGACAGAGTTTCACCATGTTGGTCAGGCTGGTCTTGAACTCCTGAGCTCAGGTGATCCACCTGCCTCAGCTTCCCAAATTGCTGGGTCTGTGCTAGACAGGACCCAACCAAGTCTAGGGTGACAGCCAGGGCAGGGTCAAACCTAGGGTGTGGCCTAGACAGAGACAAGGCAGGCAGAGCAGGGCCAGGGTGATGCCAAGGCAAGGGAAAGGACAGAGAATGGCCAGGGCAGTGCCAGAACAAGGGTAAGGACAGTGCAGCTTCATGGCATGGCAAGAGTCCAGGGAAATGATCAGGGCCATAGCAGCACTGGCAACAGGGCTCGGTCTAGGACAGTGACAGCCAGGGTCAGGGCCAGAGTAGTGCAAGACCAGGGTAATTCCAGGCATTTCAGGGTCAGGACAGGATCAGGACCAGTACAGAACCAGGTAATGCCTTAAGCAGGGAAAGACCAGGGATGGGTCTAGGTTAGGGTCAGGTCAGGGCCATAACAGAGGGGCAAGGCTAGGGAAGGACCTGAGCAGGATAAGGGCCAGGGCCAGGGCTGTGACAGAGCAGGGTCATGGTGCAGCAGGGACAGATGGTTCATAGACAGGACAGGACCAATGTCAAGGTAGAGCCAGGCTAGTGCCAGCTAGTACCAGGGCTGAGAAGGGTCAAGGCATATTGAGGGCAGGACCAGGACCAGGGAAGAGCCAGGAAAGTGTAGGGCAGGGCATTGGCATAACTTGGCTGTTGCAGGGCCATTTCAGTGCCAAGACAGGGCAGAACAGGGCAGGATGATGGTAGAGCCGGGACAGGGACAATCCAAGGCTGAACCAGGTCACTTCAGTGCCTGGATACCTCCAAGTCCAGTTCATGACAGGGCAGGTCCAGGGTAATACCAGGCCAAAGTATAGGACTAGGGTCAGGTCCAGAGCAGGGCCTAGTTAAGGCTAGGTTAAGGGACAATGGCAGGGTCTGGGGGCTGAGGACAGAGACAGGACATGTCAGGGAAGGGCGGTTTAAGACAAGGGCTATACTAGTACAAACCAGGCCTAGGGCCTTGGCAGAGTCATGACAGGTCCTTGGAAGGACCACAGAGACCAGGGAAGGGTCAAGGTCAGGATAAGGGCAGTGATAGGGTCAGGGATATGGCAATGACGGGGCAGAACCATGGTGGGGCAGGTCCAGAGGAAGTCCATAGAGAGGGTAGAGAAAAGCCAAGGCAGGGTTAGGGCAGGTATAGGGAGGGACCAGGGCCAGGACATAACCAGGGAAGGGTAGGCCAGGAAAATTACATGACTAGGCTAATGCAGGGCCAGGTCAGTCCTGGGAGAGAGCAGAGCAGGCAAGGCCATGGTGGGGACAGGGCAGGGATGGGCCATGGCAATGACAGGACCCATCAGGCACATGACATGTCCAAGTCTAGGTCATGGTCAGAACAGGACCAGGACTATGACCTCTGACAGCCTGGGGTCATGTCAGGACCAAGGTTGGGACAAAAATCAGGGTCAGATGAAGGCACGGCCAGCCCAGGTCCAGGGAAGAGGCAGTGCATGCTGGGGCTGGGCCAGTGTAGCACAGGGCCAAAGAAAGGCCCAGGGTAGGACAGGGACAAGTCAGGGTCAGGGCTATGGCAGGACTGGTGGCAGGGTCAGAGCCATGGTAGGACCAGAGACAGGGCCAGAGCAGGTCCTGGACATGGATGGGGTTGGGCAGGGCAGGGCCAGAGTAGTGCAGTGCCCAGTCAGAGTTGGGTCAGGGCAGGATAGGGCCTGGGCAGAGCAGTAGTAAGGTAGCACAGGGTATTGCCAAAAGCAGGGCATGGTCATAGCAGGGGCAGGCCTAGGAACAGGGCCAGGGTATGGTGGGGCAAATACAGGCCCAGGTTAGAGGATGACAGAGTAGAGCCAAGGCAAGGCCAGGGAGAAGGCACACTCAGGGCCAGGGTCAGGCCAATGCAGAGAGGGCCGATGAAGGGTCAGTGTAGGGTGAGGGCAAGACCAGGACATGGTGGGGCAAGGAAGAGCAAGGGAAGGGCCAGGGTCCAGACCAGGGCAGGCTCAGGATCTGGATAAGGACAGAGTAGCACCATTGCAGAAGGGCAAGACAGGGCTAGAGCCTGACCATAGAGAGGGCAGGGCAAAAGCCAAGTCAGGGTCAGGGCAAATCCAGGAAGGGGCTAGGGCAGGCCAGAAACAGGGCACAACCAGTGTAGGGTAAGACTGGGTAATGCCATGACTGGGCCATGGCAGTGCCAGGAAAGGGCAGTATATGCAGGGACCTGATAGACTAGGGCAGAGACAGGTCCAGGAATGGCTGGGACAAATCAGGCTCAGGACATGTCCACGTCCAGGTCAGGGCCAGAACAGGACCAGGACAGTGACCACTGGCAGGCTGGGTGCCATGACAGGACCAGAGTCAGCAGGAGCAGCAGGGCCAGAATCAAACCATGGCAAGCAAAAGTCCAGGGAAGGTACAGGGTAGCACATGGCCAAGACAAGGCTAGGGTAGGGCCAGGGAAGTGGGTACAGCAATGCCTAGTCAGGACTGGATGAGGGTAAACTGGGGCTGGGTCATGGCTAGGGAATAAACAAGGGTCATAGCTAGGGACACGATGGGGCCAGGAGAGGTCAAGACATGGGGAAAAACCAGAGCAATGCCGGGGACATGGCAGGGTCAGACCTTGAGAAAAGGTAAGGTTAGACAAGCTCAGGGCCTAGGCAAGCCAGGGCTAAGGTAGCACAGAAGCAAAGCAAGGCAGACAGTGTAGGGTGAGGACAGTGTCAGGGTATGGCAGGGCAGCGACAGAGATACCCAGGGCTGGTACATGGACAGCAGGGCCCACAGCAAGGCAGTGTCAGGGAGGGGCTAAGACAAGGTCAGGGCCAGGTCAGAATTACAGCCAGGGTAGTGTAAGACCAGGGCTGGATATGGCCAGTGTACGGAGGCCCATGTCAGGCTAGGATAGGCTAAGGGCAATGTCAGGGTTGAGGCAAGACTAGGATAGCACAGGACCAAGGTAAGGTCAGAGAAGGGCAGGGCCCAGGCAGAACAAGGAAATGGCAGGGCCAGCATAGCAGAGAGACAAGGGGCAGGTAGTGGCCAGGGCAGGGCCAGAAGCAAAGTAAGAATGACAGTCATGAATGAATGAAAGGGCAGGACCAGGCCAAGTTAGAGTCAGGGCTATGGCAGGGCGAGGACCATGGGCAAGTCAGGGCCCAAACAGTATTAGGGTTAGAGCAGCACACTGGCATGGGAATTGTAGGGCAGGGCACTAGGGAGTACAGTGCCCAGTTGGCTGTGCTAGGTCAGGACCTGGGTGGGTCATGGTCAGGGAAAAACCAGGGACAGGGTCACAGCCAGGGACATGATAGGACCAAGATTAGGGCCAAAAGCAGTGCAGAATCAAGGCCAAGGCAGGAACGTGGCAGTACCAGGGCTTGGCACAGGATAAGGTCAGGATGAACTGGGGGCCAGGTCAGGGCAGAACTAGGGTAGTGCAGAGCCAAGAGAAGGCAAAATCAGTATAAAGCAAAGACAGTGCCCAGGGATGGCAGGGCAGGGACAGGGAATACCAGGGTCAGGAGAGGACCCACAACAAGTCAGGGCCAGAAAGGGGCCATGACAAGGGCAAGGGCAGAGAATGGCCAAGAAAAAGGCAGGGCCATGGAAAGGTGAAGGCAACGGGTGGGGAGGGCCAGGGAAAAGGCCATGGCTGAGGCAGGACTAGGACAAGGCAAAGGCAGGTCCTGGGAAGGGTAGAGCCCGGACATTGCCAGGTTCGAACCACGGTATGGCAGGGCCAGATCAGGGTCAGGTCTATGGCATAAACAGAGCAGGGTCAGCTCCGTACTGTAGCCAGGGAAGGTCCAGGGACAATGCAGGGATAAAGAGGGTTCGGGGTGATTTGTATTTTGCTATAGCCCCCTAATTTTAGTAATACTGCCACAAGTACTATTGAACCAGCAATAGGGGCTTCTACATGGCCTTTGGGAAGTCATGGGTGAAGTCTGTATAGACATATTTTGACTATGGAAGCCATCATATATGACAACAATGTGGTGTTATTATCAAGAACATAATAATTCTTGGGTTATATTTGTTATTGTTTAGTATATTTAGTGATGAGATGTTTTGGATATATAGGAATGTAATAAGTAAGGGGAGGGATCCCCTAGTATATGAAATAAGAAATATGAGCTTCCATTAAGACATTCTGGCTGATACCCTCAGCGGGTAGTGATGATTAGAGTGGGGATTAATGTAGCTTCAAATAGAATATAAAATATAATTAGGTCTGTGGCTGTGAATGCTATAATTAGAAAAATCTGTAGAAGAATTAGTGTGGAAATATAGAGCTATTTGTGGGAAAGAATCAGTGGCTACGTGATGTTGAGTAGCTAGAATTATAAGGGGTAGTAATCAGCTGTTAAAATTAGAAGAGGGGATGTTAATGGGTCTGAAAGGAAAGTCAGTGAGAGGCTGCGTGGGTTGTTGGGTTGGCAAAAGCGTAATAGTGCAAAGAGGCTAATAAATAAGCTATGGGTGGCTGTGTTGATTCAGATTGTATTTTTTAAAAGTTATGTTGCTGGTAGTAGTATGATATCCCAAATTTTGGGGATAATATTTTTTATATTTTTAAATTATTTTTTAGGGTGTACAGAATATAACTTTTTTTATTGTTCCATTATACAATTTTACCTTTCTTTGGAATCTCCAATTCTCATAGTGGCAGAAAATTAGTCATGGTCATTCTTGGTAAATTCAGGCATTTTACATTTAAGCTTAGTTAATTAAGAATTGTTCTTTTTCCTTAGCCTGGCTCCTAGGCTTGGGGATATACTTTATATCTCAGTCTCAGGGAGAGGTGTCTGCTCCCCAGACCTCCAGGTGGAAGTGTGTCACTGCCGCTTCTGCACCTGCATCCCCAAACTTTATCTGGAGAATTCAATAATAGTCTCTCATACTTCTTTACATCCAACCCCTAAGTAGGATACAGGGATATCCCTTCTTGGAGACCATGACTGCTTTTATCATTACTTCCGCCCCATTTCACCTCTTCCCTCAACTCAGTCTGGGTTGGAAAGAGTGTGAAAAAAACTGATTGAGCCAATATACTATTTGTTCAATTTTTGGATCTTATGTCTGAGTTGAGAACTCTTGTCTTAAAACTCAAGAATTTGGCATATTTCTTCACTGATTCCACTGTGACAGCTTCCCTAAACAATGGATATCTTGCATCTATTCCCCCAAATGGTAATTGGAGGAGGAATCCAGAGAAAAGGGAGTGTGGGATGGGGAAACCATAATTGGTGAACCCTCACATATTATCCCAGCTATATAAGAGATAGAGGATGTGAGAAAGATAAACCAAATATTAGCAGAGTTCACACCCAGGGCATAAGACGAAGAGAAGAAGGAAAAAGATTTTGGTTTTACATCTTTCCACATTGCCTAATTTGTTTTTACAATAAACATGTATTTTTTGGAAATGAATTTAATTAGTCTAAAGATTAGTGAAATGGTGAAATGGCTCATATCTGTAATCTCAGCTCTTTGGAGAAGGATTGCTTGAGCCCAGGAGGTTGAGACCAGCCTGCGTAACATAGTGAGATCCCACCTCTACAATACATTTAACAATTAGCCAGGCGTGGTGGTGTGCACCTGTAGTTTAAGTTCTGCACACGGCTTAGGCCGTATGTGTTGGAAATTGTGACTAGTAGGGCTATGCCTACTGCAGCTTCACATACAGCAAATACTAGAAGGACAGTAGGTATTAGGAACTCAAACTCAGTAGTTTGAGTTCTTTGTTTTGTGTATTAACCCCTTTCCTGAGGCATAGTTTGCAGATACTTCCATATTCTGGATTGTTTCCTCATTCTTCTGATTGCTTCCTCTACTTCACAGAAGTTTCTAATTTGAATGTAATTGCATTTGGTTCTTTTTGCTTTTGTTGCTTGTGCTTTTGATGTCTATTTGAAAATCCCTTGTCCTAACGAATTTCATGAAGCATTTAAGCTGTTTTCTTCTCTAGTAGTTTCATAGTTTCATTCAGGTCCTACATTTAAATCTTTATTTTGAGTAGGTTTTTGTATTTGGTAAGATAACGTTCTAGATTTATTCTTGTACATGTGGGTGTTGTGTTTTCCTAGTAGTTTATTGAAGAGATTGTCTTTTCCAAAGGTGTGTTCTTCGTGCCTTTGTTAAAAATGAGTTTCCTGTAAAGGCATTAATTTATTTCTGAGTTCTTTATTCTGTTTCATTTGTGTATGTCTGTCTGTCATTCTTCTATGTCTGTCTGTCTCTCTCTGTCTCTCACTTGCACCTTTTTTGGCCAGTATTATGCTGTATTTGTTACTATAGATTTGTAATATATTTTGAAATCACGTATTTTGATGCTTCTAGCTTTTTTCTTTATATTCATGATTCTTTTGTCTATCTGAAGTATTTTGGATGTCTGTGAATTTTAGGATGCTTTTTTTTCTATTTCTATGAAGAATACCTTTTGTAATTTCATGTGGATTGCATTGATTCTGTAGATCTCACTGGGTAATACATTCTTCATAGTGCTTGGACATGGGATATATTTCCATTTACATGTGCCTGCTTTAATACTTTCATCTGATTTATAGCTTTTGTTGTGGGATCTTCCAACTTTCCGGTTATCCCTAGGTATCTTTTGTTGGTGGCAGCAGCAGTGAAATAGCTTTTTGAATTTTTATTATGAAGGACTGTTGAATTTTACGTTTTTCAGCATCTACTGAAATGATTATATGGTTTTTTTGATTTGCTGAATGTGATGTAGCATATTTATGTATCTGTGTTTATTCAGTCATTCTCCTGTTTCTCAGATGAATCGCACTTCATCATGGCAGATGATCCTTTTATTGTCTTGTCAAATGCAGTTTTCATGTATTTTGTTGAGGATTTTTTGTATCTGTGTTCATCAGGTTTATTTGCCTTTTTCTTTTTTGTGTCTTGTTTTGGTCTGATTTTTGTACCAGAATAGTGCTGGCGTCATAAAACAAGTTTTTGACATATTTCTTCCTCTTCTTTTAAAAATGTTTCATTGAATTCATCAGTAAAACCATGATTCTTGTGTTTTTCTTTGACAGGAGACTTTTCATTACTATGTAAATTGCATTACCCATAACTGGTCTATTCAGGTTTCTTATCTTTCTATCATTCTATCCACACTGGCCCAGGGATGCAGGGGAGTCCCCAGCGAGTGGCCACACTAGCTGTTGCCTTTCTCTCTGGCCACTGAAACATTTGGTTCATTTCGGCATCCCTGGGTGTTCTAAGCGGGGGGGCACAGTGTAACCCACACTGGCCTGGGAGTGCACAAACACGACCCCTGGGTGAGCCCAGAGCTGGGGCTGTAGCTAGAACTTCAGGGCAAGAGAGGCCCCTGGCCTCTCACTTCCTGATCCCGGTCCTGAGGTTTCAGGAGTGGGACCAGAGTGGGCTCACTCAGTGTTGTGTAATGACAGGACAGAGAAGGCAGCAGCCTTGACACTTCACATGAAAATGTCACATGAGAAGGACCACTGATCAATCCAGTCTTGGCCAGAAAGTCATTGCCATTGGCGAAAGAGCCCGTGTCTGAGTACTTGTAGCTGTGTATGTATGAACTATATACATGTATATATGTAATGCTTGTTGGCTTACAGTGTCTAAATATTTATCATCTAATGTGTCAGAAGAAATGTTTGCCTTTCCCAGTTCTAACTGATAATGGCCATGTGTGACCCTATAAAAATGTAACCATTTTTGATAACAATAAACAATAATATTAGCTGCCATTTACAGAGGTGCAGAAACATTAAGTAACTTGCCTAAGGTCACACAGCTAGTAAGTGGCAGAGCAGGATCTTACAGTGACAGTTTGGAGGGAAGAGGAGAATAAGTGATGGAGTTGATTCCAGCCATGCAGATGCAGGTGGCACCCTGGACTTCAGCTTCTCCAGGGCTGGGCTTAACTCCAGAACTGCCAGGCAGCTGTGTCACCCAGCTTGCTCTGGGATGGCTGCCAAAGCTACTTTTTAATTACAATCCACTTGAGAACACTGGTCAGAAGCTTCTGTCTCCCTGGCATTTTCCTTCCTGTGGGGCCTCCCAACCTCAGGAGTTCCTCTGTAACATGGCTAACTCCCCTCTTGTTTCCTCCTAGACTTTACCTTTTGGGTTCAGAGGGGAGACTGCTGTTGCTAAGCCCTGCTGAGCATCATTTCTGGTGTGGCAGAGTTGACAAGCCACCTGCTTCTTGACTACTCCTGACTCATCTCTGCAGAGCAGACACACCTCACTTCTTGGACATCACTGAAGAATGTTCTGGTAAGTAAATTTTTCAGGATTCAAAGCTTACTGCTCAGAACACTCAGCTTTAGAAACCTGGAACTATTTTTCCCGTTAAAATCTGGGCTCACTGCAACCTCTGCCTCCCGGGTTCAAGCAGTTTTCTTGTGCTAGCCTCCTGAGTAGCTGGGATTACAGGTGCCTGACATTTTATATTTTCAGTAAAGATAGAGTTTCACAGCATTGATCAGGCTGGTCATGAATTTGTGACCTCAAGTGATCCGTCTGCATCAGCATCCCAAAGTGCTGGGTCTGTGCTGTGGTCAGGTCCATGACAGGGCCCAGCCAACTCTTGAGTGATGGCCAGGGTAGGGTCAAACCTAGGGTAGGACCAAGGCAGAGGCAGGACCAGGATGGTACCAAGACCAAGGAAAGGACAGGGAATGGCCAGAGTAGGGACAGGACAGGGGCAAGGATAGGGCTGGTTCATGGCATGGCCAGGGTCTGGGGACAGGGTCAGGACCATAGCATCACCAGCAACTGGGCTGCAGCTAGGGCAGTAACAGTGCCAGAGTCAGGCCCAGAGCAGTGCAAGGCCAGGGTAATGCCAGACATTTCAGGGTCAGACAGGATCAGGACCAGGGAAGAACCAGGGTAAGACCTCAAGCAGGGCAGGACCAGGACCAGGATGTGGGGCCGTAACAGAGGGGCAAGTCTAAGGAAGGTCCTGAGTAGGTTAAGGATCAGGACCAGGGTGGGGGAAGGGCCAGGACTGTGACAAGGTAGGGTCATGGCAGGGCATGGCCAGAGCTGGTTCATAGAGAAGGCAGGGACAGTGCTAAGGTAGGGCCAGGGCTGAGGAAAGGACAGTGAAAATCAAGTGTGGGACCAGGGCCACGCACAGGCAAGGCAGGGTAGGTCAGGGCATTGGTACGACTGGGATGTTGCAGTGTCATTTCAGTGCCAAGACAGGGCAGAACAGGGAAGGACAATGGTAGGGCCAAAGTAGGGACAAGCCAAGGCTGGTCCAGGTCAATTCAGGGCCAGGATACCTCCAAGTCCAGTACAGGACCATGGCAGATTCAGGGTTATTGCAAGCCAAAGTGCAGGACCAGGTCTGGGCTAGGGCCAGGTCCCGTGTGGGGCCTAGTCAAAGCTAGGTTAAGGGCCAAGGAGGTAGGGCCAGGTCAGGGTCTAAGCCAGAGTAGGTCAAGGGCAGAGCTAGGGCAGGGTGAAGACACAGCCAGGGCACAGCAGGGAAGGGTGGGTCAAGACAAGGGCTATACCAGTACAGAGCAGGACCAGGTCCTTGGCATGGACCAGGAAGGGTCAGGGTCAGGCCTGGATAAGAGCAGGGTTATGGTCAGGGATATGGCAGGGACAGGGAAGGACCATGGTAGGGCAGATCCAGAGCCAGTCCATACAGAGTAGAGAAAAAGTCAAGGTCGGGTGAGGACAGGTCCAGCAGGGATGAGGTCCAGGGCACAACCATGGTAGGATAGGCCAGGGCAATGACACTACTGGACCATGGCATGGCCAGGTCAGTCTTGGGAGAGAGCAGAACAGGCAAGGATGTGGTGGAGACAGAGCAGGGAAGGACCAAGGAAAGGATGGGACAAATCAGGCCCATGGCATGTCCAAGTACAGGTCACAGCTAGAACAGGACAAGGATCATGACAAGCCTGGGGTCATGTCAGGACCAAGGTCAGGACAAAAGGCAGGGTCACAGTGAAGGCATGGCCGGCCCAGGTCCAGGTAAGGGGTAGGGCCTGCTAGGGCCAGTGTAGTACAGGGACAAGGAAAGGGCAGGGCAGATAGGGGTCAGAGTAGAGGCAGGGACAGGGAAGGCCAAGGGTAAGGAAAAGGCAAAAGAAGTGCCAGAGAAAAAGCAAGCCAGGGAGGGTTGAAGGCAAGAATGGCCAGTTCAGAACCTGAGTCAGAGGAGGCCAAAGGCAGGGCCAGGACTGAGGAAGACCAGAGTAGGGAGGGACACATCAAGCCAGGGTAGGGCTAGGGCAAGGTTAGGGACAAGTTAGGACTAAAATAGCACAGGACTAAGGCAGGGCTAGTGCCAGGACAGAACCACAGAATGACAGGGCCAGGTCAGGGTCAATTCAATGGCATGGGCAGCGTCAGCACATTGCTATGGGCAGGGCAGGTAAATGCAGAGGGTGGGTCTAGTGTCAAGGCACAGTAATTGCAGGGCGTGTATGTTGCCAGGGCCAGTTTAGGGACAGGTCAAGGTTGGGTGAGGGACAGGGCCAGATCAGGGCAGGACCAGTTAGGGTACAGGGCAAGAGCCGATCCAGAGCAGAACCAGGACCAGGAGAAACCAAAGGTAGGGCCAAGGTAGGGTAGGGCTAGGGCAGAGTAGGACTAAGGTAGCACAGCCTGGCCAAATGCAGGGTAGGACCATAGTAGGGGAAGGATGAGGATCAGGGCAAGGGCAAACACTGGGCCAGGGTATGGTGTGGCCAGTACAGGGCCAGGATAGAGAATGACAGGAGGATGGCTGGAGGAATGGGTAAGATCAGGACCATGGCCACGTGAGGGCCATGACAGAACCAGAGCTGGGTTAGCACCCTCGTATTGGCAGTGCAGGGCAAGGAAAATGGCATTGCCCAGTCAGGACTGTGCTTGGATAGGACCAGAACTGTGGCAGGGCAAGACCCAGGGTAGGAAGAGGGTTGGGTCATGGCCAGGAAAAATTCAGGGGCAGGGTAAGAGCCAGGGACATGGAAGGACAAAGATGAGGGCCAGGGCTGAGTAGAAACAGGGCAGAACCAGAAATAGCCAGGAACATGGCACGGCCAGGGCTTAGGCCAGGGCAGGTTCAGGACCAATACAAGGCAGGGCAGGGATAGGGTAGTACAGAGCAAAGGCAGGATAGGGCCAGTGTAGAGCAAGAATGCAGCAAGAGGATGTCAGAGTGTGGTCACAGAAGGCCATGCTGAGAACATGGACCCGGCAGGGCCCACAACAAGACAGGGCCAGAAAGGAGCCAGGACAAGGGCAAGGTCACTGAAGGGCCAAGGAAAAGGCAGGGCCACGGAGGAGCTAAGGTAAGGACAGGGCTATGTGAGAACCAGAGTCAGGGCCAGGGCAAGACAAAGGGAAGGACACAGCAGACCAGAGTAGGGCCAGGGCAAGGTCAAAGCTAACACAGGACTAGGAGAGCACAGGTTTAAGACAGGGCCAGTGAAGGGCAAAGCCATGCCATCGCCAGGGCATGGTCAGGTCCATGGCTTGAACAAGGCAGGATCAGTGCCATACCATAACCAGGGAAGGTCCGGGGACAAGATGGGACCAAGATAGACCAGGACCAAGTCAGCCATAAGGTAGATTCAGTGACAGGGCATGGCTGCATCAAGGACAGGGCCAGTCCAAGTCCAGGTTCAGGAAAGGTCTAGAGCATGGATAGAGCCAGTGCAGAACCAGGAAATGACAAAGGCAGGTCCAGGGCAAAGTATGGTTAAGGGTAGGACCAGAGCAAAGCAGGACCAAGGTAGCACACGGCCTGGCCAAATGCAGGGGAGGACCATGGCAGGGGAGGACTAGGAGTAGGGCCAGGGAAAACACTGGGCTCTGGGCATGGCAGGGCCAGGGCAGAGGAGGGATACCATGGACAGAGTAGGCCTGGGGTTGTCATCCCAGAGCAGGGTGAGGGCAAGTCTGATAAGAAGGCAGGGCCAGAGCCAAGACAGAGCCAGGGAAGCGCAGGACAATTTCAGGGGAAGGGGAAGGTCAGAGCTTGCAGGGGCAGGGTCATGTAGATCAGGGACAGGATAAGGATAGGACCAGGGTCAGGGCCAGGGCCAGGGCCAGGAATATCATAGGTCCAGGGCCAGCTCAGGGCAAGGCAGGGAAGTACCAGAACCAGACCATGGGGCAGGGAAAGTCCCAAGGAAGGACCAGGTAGTACCAGGGCTGAATGACAGCTCTGAGTGCAAGGGCTGAGGAAGGATATGGGAAGGTCCATAGCTGAGCCAGGGTCAGATCGAAGACATGAACAGGGAGGGGTCAGGATCAGGACAGGTCCAGGGCACAACCAGGGAAGGGATAGGCAGGGCAATGGGAGGACCAGACCATGGCAAGGCCAGGACAGGGCAGGACAAGACCGGGGTCACACAGGATAAAGGTAGGGCAAGTCCATTGCAGGGCTGGGGTTTGGACCAGAATCAGAGAAGTGCTGAGGCAGGGCCAGTGCTGGGACCAGGACTAGGAAAAAGGGCAATTTCAGGAACAAGGCAAAGAAAGATCCTCAGGGCCAGAGTCAGGGACATGGCAGGACCAGCAACAGGGCTAGGTACAGACAGTGATAGGACCAGAGTCAGGGCGAGGGCCAGAAGAGCGTGTACTGGGTTAGGGCTCAGGCAAATCAGGGCCAGGGCCAGGCCAGTGTCATGATAAGGCCTTTAGCAGGTCAGGACCAGGACAGGGTTAGTGCCATGGCCAGGTCTAGGACAAGACTGGGGCAGGACCATGATAGGGTCGGCACCATGGCAGGACCAGGGATAGGAGCAAGAGCCAGTGGTCAAGGTCAGGGCTATGGCCAGGTCAGAGTGGCAAGACCAGAAGCAGGGTGAGTGAACTAGGATTGTGCAAGGTCAGATGCAGGCCAGAAGCAATGTATGGTCAGGCTCTAAGACACTGTGGCCATGTCTAGGCTGGGGCCAGGGCCACAGCAGATGCAGAGCCAAGGAGAAAGCAGAAACATGGAGGGTCCAGAGGAGGGCAAGATCAAGGCAGAACCAGAACCAGCAAGAAGCAAAAGCAGGGAGAGGGCAGTGCAAGGCCTGGTTAGGGCCAGTTCCAAAACAGGGCAGGGCTAGGATAGTACAAGGCATAGCAAAAAGCAGGGCAGGGGTCATAGCTGGGGTACAACTAGGAACAGGGCCAGGGTATTCTGGGGCCATTACAGGGCCATAACAGAGGATGACAGTGCAAGGCCAGGGTAAGGAAAATGTAGGGCCGGGGCCAAGGCAGAGAGTGTCAGTACAGGGTCATTTCAGGGTGAGAACAAGACCAGGGAATGAATG